AGATCATTACATATTTCAATTGGGTTTTAAGGTACAAGTTGTACCAGACAAATAATTGAATATTTCAGTTGGGTTTTAAGGTACAAGTTGTACCAGACAAATCATTACATATTTCAAATGGGTTGTAAAGTACGAGTTGTACCAGACAAATCATTGAATATTTCAATTGGGTTGTAATGTACGAGTTGTACCAGACAAATCATTAATTAAATATTTCAATTGGGTTTTATTGTTCGAGTTGTACCAGACAAATCATTACATACTTCAATTGGGTTTGAATGTACAAGTTGTACCAGACAAATCATTAAATATTTCAGTTGGGTTTTAATTGTACGTGTTGTACCAGACAAATCATTGAATATTTCAATTGGGTTTTAATTGTACGTGTTGTACCAGACAAATCATTGAATATTTCAATTGAGTTTTAATTGTACGAGTTGTACCAGACAAATCATTGAATATTTCAATTGGGTTTTAATTGTACGAGTTGTACCAGACAAATCATTAAATATTTCTATTGGGTTTAATTGTACGAGTTGTGCCAGACAAATCATTAAATATTTCTATTGGGTTAAATAGTACGAGTTGTACCAGACAAATCATTAAATATTTCTATTGGGTTAAATTGTACGTGTTGTACCAGACAAATCATTGAATATTTCTATTGTGTTAAATTGTACGTGTACTACCAGACAAATCATTGAATATTTCTATTGGGTTGTAATTGTACGAGTTGTACCAGACAAATCATTAAATATTTCTATTGGGTTTAATTGTACGAGTTGTACCAGACAAATCATTAAATATTTCTATTGGGTTAAATTGTACGTGTTGTACCAGACAAATCATTGAATATTTCTATTGGGTTTAATAGTACGAGTTGTACCAGACAAATCATTAAATATTTCTATTGGGTTAAATTGTACGTGTTGTACCAGACAAATCATTGAATATTTCTATTGGGTTAAATTGTACGAGTTGTACCAGACAAATCATTGAATATTTCAATTGGGTTTTAAATGTACGTGTTGTACCAGACAAATCATTAAATATTTCTATTGTACGAGTTAAACCCTAGAAATGATCAAATATTTCTGTTTCTGCTTATCAAGACAGATTCGAGTGTATCTCAAAGACAGATTCGAGTGTATCTCGAGTTTCTCTTTAAAGAACACGATATTTCTGTCGCATTTCTGTTATGCACTCTGACATAATGGAATCAAAAGATGTTGTTTTACGACCTTGTTTTGCAGGTTTTGTCTTTTTTGTTCCATTATTCAATCAATATGTTGAGAGTAGTTAATGGAATTCTGTTAGAATTAAGATGGAAAAAGGGTTTAATTCGTCAAAAACTGAATTGAATGTTTCCTTTTGGTTAATTTCTGTTGTTTTTTTTTCGAGTAAAACGAGCGCTTGTTGATTTGCTGTTTGATTCAATTCAAGGAAATTCTTTACTAATGCAACAGATAATATTTGTGACCCATGTGACTAAATGGTGGTTGTGTAAATTAAAACGGTCACTTAATATTGATTTGACGAATAGTTTTGAATCATCTGATTGCAGACAGTTCCCCTCTCGGTATTTTATTTTATTACAGAACTTTATATGATTCTATGCTATACAAATGTAAATTGCTTTAAATATAACACTTTTCTGTAATAATTCAACTGGTTGAGGAAATTACGACACGAAATAATGATAGACGTGCCGCAATTTATTAGATTATATTAGAAAGGTTTTAGTGATCACAAAATACACTTTTTGAATTCTTCAATGGTATATACATGGGTGTTATACTATAAATTACTATAAAAGTATCAGTTATAAAACACAAACGTGTTTGGTCAATACAGACGACACCGGAAACCCCGTAGTTAATGTCTACTACATAATCTAAAGTCTATCTTTTCTCCACCTAAATTCTAATTTTCAATACATTAACATTCACTCCAGCTTCCACGTTTCCGGCTAACGATCAAATTCATGAATAAATGTTGCAATTTAATGAGTTTGGGCGGAAATGAATGAATGGCATTATTGCGTTCCAATCTGATATCATTGTATCGTTTATTCATTTTCCTTTATTATAACTGATGTTCTCAGTACAATTGGTCAGATACTATGATTGTGTTCAGTAAGTGCTGTTTTGAAATGACAGTACGTGCTGTCTTCTTTTGAAATAAAAGTTTAAAATCCCGAGCTCTACACCAATGTTTTATGTATGAAAACATAGCTGCATGTATTTTGATTAGTGCCTAAATACAATGGCGTTTTAAGTAAAGGATACATGCAGGCCTATTATTGGATATTGGATAATGGATTACGGATACTTTGAAACGCAATTATCTTGTAAGTTGGAAAGAGAACAGTAGTTGATGAAATGTTGATTTTATCTCGGGGTGATTGTCCGTTATGTTTACTAGATATCTGAAATAGTCTTTCTTCCTGTTTGAACATTGTTTCAAAGAGCTTTTCGTTCTGCAATGTGGACTTTGTCTTGATCTTAGTTTACATTAAGAACATGTCATTAATTGAATTAGTTTTTCATTGATGTTTGAAGCATTGTTATCAACAACCCTCGTTGGAAAAGTCTATTTTCGGTTTATGTAAGTTTAAAAAGAGAGAAATACAGGTCGTCAAGAGGACGGTCATTAATTTGAAAACCTGGTATCAACATTCCTTGAACCATGTCTTTTTATTTCTGTTAACACGTATACTAAATAGAAATACATAACCTTCCAAATCGTGACACGCACACGTTCATCGTTGAGTGAAGTTATATTGACGAATCATCTTTTTTTGAGACTTCGCCATGTTGGAGAGTATATAAGTTCATAAATATATTTATTATATTGAGGTTCACTTCACATTGATATAGTTTTGAGGCTATTTCCTCTAGAGCACATCATAGACATTGTCGTACAATACTCTCACATGGGATAAACCAGTAAAGATTTAAATAAAAAGCAAAATTTCTAGTTATAATTGAAGCGATTTTACTGAACACTATTTACATATATTTAAGACTCTAATCAACCCCTAAAATATGTCAATTGTTACCCTTCAAGCAGTTAAGATGTTCACTTAAAATCATAATGTCGTATCTTTGGAACGGTAGATGGACGTGTTCGAATGTGCCGCAGTGTCTGTGTAAAACTTTATATCGAGAAAGTTTAACGTTTTATTTGAACCAGTGTAATTTGTAAAAACAATTGACTGAAGTGGAAACATTGTTGAAACAACTTCTCAATGTAATGAATGTTTGTTTCTCTGCGATGTGTGCTGTTCTTGAAATATCCAAGGTAACCTGTCAGTTCTAGTTCTAGATTTATGTATCTAATCTACACCATTGAAAAAGGCTCAAATCGAGAGGCATAGGGAAAGAATAAGGATAATGCTTGTACAGACTAGGATTACAATTACGGCGAAAGATTTTTGAGAATACTTTTTTTTTTCTAACTTCGTGTTTAAGATTTCTCAACGATTTTAACCTGTTTTTCTGTGATATTGCTTGTATACAGAATACAACTCTTATTATAAATAGTCTTTGGAAATAATATATTACTGGATGGTAATAATATTCGACCCAGTTATTCATTTTATGTCCAGAGTTCAATCCCGGCATATGTCGAGATGATACTTTCGGATGGAAATCAGAAGAGAGTAGTCTTATATTTATGTCGTGGCAAAATTTACCGCATTGCACACTGCATGACGTCTTCATTAACCCAATTAGGTGCAGAAGAGTAGCCTATGACGTAAAACTCAATTCACTTCATCTTTACAACAACTAGTACCAAGTATCAACTCTTTTTGGAGGTTCTTGTATAAGTAGCCATACTTTACCTAAACAACTGATTTTCTGTTTATACTGTTTTGTTTGTAATGTGTCTCAATACTGATGGTTACAGTGGTATTCCGTCTCTCTCTAGTCTTCGGATTAAATTTCATTGTAATTAGTAGGTCACCAGTGTTGAATATAGTTTAATAGAGATCATTGTTCCAATCATCAACAACAAAACAGAAACCAATAAATATTGGTAAAAGTATCAATTAGATTCCATAAGTTGTCATATTTACTTTAGTACAGTTCGATTTGTTCTCATTTTAGAATATTAAAAGAGAACTAATAGGGCCGGGTTCGATAACATATATTTAGTGTAGGAAGATAATGAGAAAATAACAAACCCATTGTTTGGTCATTAACAGACATAAAGGAAATGTTCAATCTAATTCTGTATAATTGCAGGAGGCCGGGATTTTAATGAACTTTAAAGGTTAGTTTAACATTTGATCCAGGGATCATGGAGGCTAAAGACACATCTCAATTACTAATCTATATATTAATGGATGTAAGACGCGCTAAGTTTATAAATATTATCGTTTTAATGGGAATTCTATTTAAATAAATCAATACTTTGAAGGATTAGACAGTAAACAGCTTTGATTTAATCTAATTCGCGTATCTTCACAGAAGTGATTGTTTCAAATATTAAATAACGCATAGAGTAACTTTTCTACTTTTAAGCATTAAGAAATTCAGAACCATTGCCATTAACCGGCGGACAAATCTAAAGAGGAAGTAATCATTATTATTACTATGGCGGAGATTAATCAGCTAAGTAAAGATTGTTTTCCTGACGATAAAACTGGAGAATATATCTTTTAAATAATATAGACAAAGCTGTTGACTTTAATTATTTTCCATTTGAACACAATAGGTTAAGATAATGGACACTATTATGCGGAATCTTACCAACACCAAACTTTAAAAAGTGACTTGCGAGAAGAGGTATAACAGTCAACAGTCAAGTTATTTTAACTGTGTAACTTATTAAATCATTTTTTCCATCGTAGATTATGGGTGTTTAAACAATGCAACTCATAAAAGTCCTACTAGGGTTCACTCTTGTTAAACATTTTAAAGTAACTATGCACTATTTTACATTCCAGGTACTTGGAGAAGAACGTGCGATGTGACCCGGAAGTTGAGATAAAAATGACTGAAAGACCTCAGGTCGATCCCAACCTGGATAGATTTTCAACGTGGTATTCTACCTACCATGGCTATGTCAGTTTGTGTGTTTGTATGTCTGGAATATTACTCAATATATTTAATGTGACTGTTTTAACACGTAAACACATGCACACACCTGTCAATCATATCTTAACAGGACTAGCTATCTCGGATATAATTACAATGTTATCGTATGTACCGTTTGCAGTACATTTTTACTGCATGCATCCGACAGAAGCTGGCACTCCAGAGAAAAACAGCATATATTGGATGACATTTCTATTGTTCCATATAAATCTGACAACCGTTACGCATACAATATCGATATGGCTATGCGTCTCTTTATCAATTATTAGATTCTTACATATCCGTTCTCCAACACGAGCTCGCGTAGTTCGTCTTGCACGTATGAGACAATCAAAATATCTAGTTGTTTTGGTATACTTTACATCAGTGATAGTCATGATACCAAATTATTTAACTAACGAGCTAAAGCCTGCTCACGTTTCTACCAACGAAACAAATTCGACCATATTTGTGTTAGAAAACTTACGTCTTGGTCGTAATGATACTACGCCTTTAGTGTTAATAAATGTGTGGCTGTACGCTATAGTGGCCAAATTAACACCGTGTTTGTTAATTACAGTCTTTGGATGTATGTTATTGTATCAAATGCAGGTCCAAGTGAAACGAAGACGGAGTATCATAGCTAAATTCAGTGGTACAAGTGGCATTAAATTAAAGGAACATTCTCGAACTACGAAAATGCTGATATCTGTGATTGTTCTATTTATTGTAACAGAATTCCCTCAAGGAATTTTGATAGTGCTTAGTGCGTGTAAAGCGAATTTTTTTGAAACGGTGTACTTGCCTCTTGGGGATATTATGGATATTGTTGCCTTAGTGAATAATGCTGTGAATTTTGTTTTGTATTGTACAATGAGTACCAAATTTCGTGAAACCTTTCTTCGACAATATTGTACCATGCCAAAATTTCCAAAAACAGAAAATGGATTTACACTGCGTGAAAAATTAGATTCCTATAGTAATAACAACCAAGTGTAGACTTGAGGTCAGCGACTCCTGTCAAACAGCATTTCTTATAGGGAAATATTCCGAAATTGAGTCTTTTTTAATTTACTAATGATATACCCATGGTCACTCTTCGTTGAAGGATTTCTATTATTTAACAATTACAGTTGCCCCACTTTGTTGAACAGTCTGTTATTTATGTTTGCTAAACTATCGAAATACTTAATTACTATTCATAATTATATGTGCTTTTTGTTGTGTTTTTTTTTTTAACCCGGTGTCACTTGCAATTGACATAATCTATAATAGTATAACAATTTAATGGGATGAAGTAAAATATCTGTGGATATCATTTTTATACGCCCACAGGAAATGGGGGGCATATATTGCTGTCACCCATGTCGGTCGGTCGGTCTGAAGAATCAGAAGAATCGAAACATATTTAGTATAAGTTATTGCCCTTGCCGTTGAAAACGCGTTCAATTTTTAGCTCGTAAACACTGTAGAAGAGACAATTCTTGATGGATTTTGACGAAACTTGGTGTGAGTGTTCGTAATCACCCAAGGATAAACCCTATCGAAAATCAGAAAAATCGAAAAATATTTAGTATCAGTTATTGCCCATGTTCTTGAAAACACTTTAAAATTTATCTCTGAAACACTAAAAGGCATGATTCTTGACTTTGCTCGAATTTGTCATATACATGCTTCCAGCTAAAGCTACCCGACCTTAAAAATACTTAAACCATTGCTTCTATTGTTCAACAAATGCACTATGAACGATACACTGTAGCTATCTTGTCGACTCTCTCGATTGCAATCGAGTTGTGAAATTTTGATAAAACTTGATGTATATATGGTTGTTCAGATTTACCGTGAATTTGGCGCACATAGGTTAATTGATTAATCAGATCTCACAGAATGAAAGTCATACTTAAAAATTACAACTTGCTGGTATACATTCCCCCAAATCTTCCATTAAAACACAAGACTCGTATCCTTTGAAAGGTTTTTTCTCAAATTCAAGAATGGACACTCTATTTCGATGAGCCGTCAAAATCATCTGTCAAGTGTTTTAGACAAATAATTAATGTACGACGAATCGCTGCCTAAGTAGGATATATCAAATGGATTGTAACTTTTGCCACCATGATTTAATTGATCTTAAAGATTTGGGCTGTGAAATTCAAGCATGGCAGAAAGAGCCTTGGCATCTAGGAATGGTACTGAACAGCAACCATTCAGGAAAATATAACCGGGGTGCATGCCATGATGGCTGGTCGACGATTGACTCGACATATTGCCATTATTGTGAGAGGGTTGAGCACATTATATTATATTAACATTAAAATGTTTTATGGGAAGACAAGAAGTTTATGAAAGGTGGATGCCACTGGTAGCTCTTGGCAGTAGATCAGAAACGTGTCAGACTAGATGATTTGTTGGCCTGATTAGTAACCATATGAATGAGGTCGGTTTCCCAGAATGAAAAAGGAGCTTGCCGGCGGTCGTGAATCTTTCCCCTTTGAATGACCCCTTTTCGAGGTGGCTTTTAGGCAATCTTCTTGGCCGCCTTCCACACCTGGCTCAAGTGTGTAAACCTTGAATGGGCTATTTTGAGAAATAGTCTTTCACTGTCGATGACTGGACCGTGGACCTATAATTGTAACATTATGTAATTATGCTCTCCTGCATTTTTTTCTTTCTCGACCTTAGCCTTTTTATTATAAGCTTGATTTGGCATATTGTCGTGCGTAAAAATGTGTATATGATGAAAAAAAATAAATGTCTAAAGATAAAATAGATATGTTTTAAGACGATACCAAGAGAAATGTCGTATTGTATTTGAATAAATGTTTATTATTTTACAGAAGAGTTTTCATTTAGCGTCATAGTATATGTATCCATCTGCAGCAAATGATACTCATACTACGTCATATTCACTCCATTCAATCAATTGACCATTATAGTTCGTAAATATGTAAATAAATATAATAGTTAATCGTGATATGCATCGATTAGGAAATTGGCCGACGATGATCTCTGGTATTATCTGGGTATCGATATATTGCACATCAGCTCGAAGAGAGGTCAAAAGATAATTGTAGGCCTATTACATATTGCGAAAATAGTTTGAACGCTAATCGCAATAATCATTATTGCATTATTCAGAGTCACGGAAGAATAACTAATGTTTATTTCCATTTAATAGTCGTTTCAATCTTCAAAAAAAAAAAACAGTTCCCTTGTTCTACAAACTGATCTCAGCGGCATACCACGGGCCCTATACAAATAATATTGAATCTTAAATTCGCTGGCAAATGTCATGAAATCGCGTTTCTGGGTGTCTAATTCTCAAAAAGGAGCCTGCCCCTTCGACAAGTACCCAAAAAAGATATGCCCCCCGTTTGCAAAACTGATCGCCGCCCCTGACCACAGATACGATGAAATAGATTGTGGTGTTTATTTAGGAATTTGGCCAGAATAGAAGGCATGTCGAAGTGTGTCTGGTCTATTATTTACCCTCAGAACAATGACCGAAAATTGACTCTCTGGATATTTTATACGAAGAACAGAACGCATTTTTGTATGTATAGGCATTACATATACACGGTTCAATATGCACTGCGAGCCTTGAATGGAGAAGAGAACTAATCATTATATGACTAAAAAAAAAACTCTATCGCACGCGGTTTCTGTTTAACAGATCAGCTGATCATCCTTTAATTGGGGTTCTTCAAATGTAAATATAATAATAGAATTTGATAGATTTTAATAATCAGTTGATTCAGAAAATGACAGAGTAAACTGAGATAACAAAATAGAAATATAGCATAACATAAACATAGAGCTTAATGACATAATACTGAGCAAATAAAACAATACAGCTGTAGACTTCATGACACAAATATTAAATAACAAGTGAGGTTTGAGACAGGCACATTTGGTATTTGGTTTGACCTCTGATATTAGTGCTTTATCTGATTAATCTAACAAAATTCATGTTTAATATAAGAAACAATTTTCAACCGAATCTTGGTCACACTTTTTTGAGAACCCAATAGAGGCATTTTAAGAGATTTCTTTCATAGTATAATGATTGGGGAATTTACAGATTTTTCACTTGCTTTAACGAGGTGCAAAAAGTAGGCACTATACTATTCTTTATATATTGAATGTTTTAAAATATCAAATAATAACATTAAACAATAACCTGTATGGAATATTTTATACTGTAAACTGAGTATTATGGAATAAACAATTGACTTGAATGGCAAGACTCTTAACACATGCAACTCCCTAAGAAGAAATCAGACAGACCCTCCATAAATCAACTTGAAAACACAATGGCAATGTATGTAGGAGCACATTGGAAAATGGTGTGCCAGTTATGTACATCACATTCCCCTATTCTCTATTTAATTCTTGCAGGTTACAAAAAAGTTTTATAGGAAAACACTACAAACAAATTGACTGAAAATGTAAACATGCAACATTAAAAGCACTATTTGAAAAAATCTAAACATTATATATTACACTATACGCAAAGCATAGTATCAAAGAATATATATTATACAAAGGGAATCTATAAAAAAAATATCTAAAAGGCAGCTTATGAAAATTTATGTCAGGTTTTTTTCAAATCAAAAAAGCTTACAGTCTCAGATATCAATATATAAAAAAAATTTCAAAGATGTATTCAAACAAATGCCTGAATCCACATTTTTTTTTAGTGATTGTAAGATCAAAATTCTTACAGGAAATTTTTTTTATGAGACATTCATTGTGACCATAGTTTATCAAGATATGATTAGGTGTGTAACTTTCATTTTTTGAAAAAAAACTAACATGTGGTTTGTTCTACAAGACAGGCATACAATTATGTATCTAAGCTGTAAGTGCAGCCTGAAAGTTAGCAACAGACTTGTTCTCCGAGAAACAGGTGATAGGAATAAATGGATGGTTTGTCTTACTCAGATAACCCTGAAAACAACAATACAGGATAGGTTATAAAAAATTCTCATAATTATAGAAGATGAAAGTTTTCTTTTGAATTCATGGCTCTTTTCCAGTTATTTTTCATGTCAATAATAACAGTTTTTCATTATTTCAAACAAAAGCTTCCCTAAATATTATATTTATGATAATGACACATTGATTTGATGATAATTGTTCCTGCATAACGAAACTTTCTTGGCACATTTTTGGCTCACAAACTCATAAGCCTTGTCTGTATTATTTCTCCAAAAATTTATTAAGATGTACTTACATGGGCATAGCTCAGAGCATTTTTTCTTTCATCAATAGAAGCACCTTTACCAATCCAAACAAACAAATCTTCTTTAGTATCAAGAACAAATACATCCTATAAATATCAATACTTGTACATTGGAGTATTTTATATCCTGATGAAATCATGCAGTTCAACAAATTTTACATATTCTTCTAGACATAGTTATGTCCCTTCCTCTTTAAATATGCATACCTGATACTCCATGCTCATGTATATAATGCCCGATATGTCCTATAGCATCTTGAGTCAATTTCAATAAATTTTTGACAAAATCTACACGCTTGTTTTCTAGTCTTATTCATATAACTCTGAATGAAAACCGGGTCTGATAAATAAAAATATTGTCTCACATCTGAAGAAAAGTCACCCTGACTGATTGGTCCATCTTTAACTTTATTAAAACTACAGCTTCCACCAGCATCTGATACCCTGATAAAAGGAATATGTAAAACATCTTACACAGGCATTATGTATTGAATATTCAACTACACATTATTATTCTTTGCAATTAGAATGCATACCATGTAAATTCACTAAAATGAATGATGAATTGCAAAATTGTATATTTGGAAAATTATTTCCAAAAAAAAGTTTTTTTTATACTTAATTGTGGTTTTAACCCAATTAAGGGGCAACAACTCCATTTTTAACTTTCATGCCAACGTTTCCTAAAATTTTGAATACTGTCTTGCATATTTGTCAAAAACTTGAATTTTACTGAGTATTTTTTTTTAAAAACTAGTTTTAGAATGGCTTTGATACAAATTTGTTTATGTGCAATATGACATAAAATTTCTGTTATAAAGAGTGAACTTCAGGAAAAAATTAAGACATTTTTGGAGTGAATATTTTTAGAAAAAAAGCAAAAAAATGCTCAAAAATATGTAAAATTTTTGGGGAGATTAACGAAACACTATAAATCTGTAGATCTGTAAAATGGAAAGATACATACATATAATGTAGGGCCTATTCCCCTATTGTTAAGGTTCTTTACCTACAAGGTTATAAGATTATTAATATTTTCTGTGACTTACTTGTACAGTTCCTTTACACCATCTGTACCTTCATCATCACTATCGGCTTCATCATCATCTTGTAAACTAGCAAAGAACGGGTGCTACAAAACAAAACAACATCACTTACAAAAATCATTAAGTAATGTAAAAGGAATGGACTCCTATCAAAGATGAATTGTTAATGTGTCTTTAAAAACTATCTTATCTAAAGACAATTATCTTGGCTACGGTCTTAATGCAGAAATGGTATCTCAATAAAGTGCACACTAGAAATGTTTACCAAAAATATATTCCACTTACAGATGGTGAAATTTCATTGCCTTCCAAAACTTCGCATTTAGCTTTACCATTCCTTTCAGATTCAAGTTGTTGACAATACTGAGCTGCCTGCAGTGTATAAAGAGAAATGATAAATTAATACAACATTCAAGTTAATATCTCTTTAATATCAAGATAAATTGAAAATAAGTGCATTGAGAATAGATAATACCTTGAATTTTTCATCTTTACTGCAGTTAGCTCCATTATACTGATAGACAGTTCTACCCAGATCCAAAATAAATACATCAGAATCAGTTATTCTCTTCTTACTCAATGGCACCTAAGAAAATAGAAAGATAAGACCATGACTAAATATGTAAATGTATTATTAAGTATGGTGTGTTTAGTTTTTTGGTTGGTGTAGAAAACTAACATACAAATTAAAGCAAAATAACACAAATCAAATCTATATATGGTCCAACACCAAAACTAGCTAAAGCTGCTGAATTAACAAATAGTATACACCATTCCTTAAGTAACCCTTTAAAAAACAAATTCAGTTTATAGATGTAAAAAAATGTCTTAAAAATGCAGTTGTTTACTGTTGTTTATGTTTGATAAAAATTGATTGAAAATTTGGCAAACCATAAATATATTAAAGGTCAAGGCTGATAATTTTTTTACTTGATTTTGGGATTAAATATTTTCAAAACTAAGTTTATCATCTACTAACATGGGTGTTATCAGTAAACCACTGATAAGTTATAAATTGATTAGAATAAAATAGCAAACATATACCTCTGAAACAGTTACAGTGCGACTTGCTTTACTGAAATGTAGCAGACGTGGTTTGTAAGCTTCCGGTACAACATGACGGAAACCGGAATCAGCTCCACCTCTCATTAGACTGAAATATACAGATTCTCTTAATATTTGATTTAAATTTTCATTTATGTTTACTGAAAACCTTTATTACACTCAAGATCTTTGATGCCCATCTCCCAACTATATCTCAAAATGAGCACTATACTTTAACCCCTAAAAGGCTCTGTAAAAGATCTTAAGGATAAATTATTGTTAAATTTTGAATAATTTTTTCATTTTATGGTGTATACAAAATCTTGATTCTTGAGCATTAATGGGAGAAACATAACAGACGGACATAGGAACAGGAGAGTTGTAGTCAGTGGTCTGAAGATCACAGTGTGGAACTTTTCAGCAACATGTTTCAAGTTCTGTTTTAATATTTCTATATCACGCTACACTTGATGTATTAATTGAGCACTATTTTAACAGTGTTGTGATTCAACTTACGTTATAGTCTTGAAATAGGATTTAAATAATTGAGATTCATGACCTTGAACTTCACGATGTTGTACAGGAACATCACCAAGGAAAGTATCAAGTTCAACTGTTTTGTAGGCAGCTGTACCATATTCATCCTGCAAATCATATCAATAGAAATGATATTATCAGTAAACCTTCACATAACCAGAGTAGTAAACTTTAAAGATAAAGTATTACTTGTTATCTATTACCCAATAGTCATTGTATCGCAATATGAACAGCCTGGGACAAAATCAAGTTTTGTTTCTAAAATATCCCCATACCAGCAAACAACATGGTACCCAGGGTATGCGAGAAAAAATTTGTCGTATTTTTAAGTGATTATGTGGTAAGAAGTCTCTGTTGTGTGTATCAATAACACAATTCTAATGTCATGATCTTGAACCCTGACAGAAACTCATCCATTGTAAAGTATCAGGTAAATACCATGTGATAGTTTACAATGTACTTGGGCTACAAGAAGTAATATGTTTAGACACTCACCTGGCTGCTCTCTTTACCAATCCAGAAGTGAACATCATAACATAAAGTTTCTGATGAGCCCTCCTTGAATGTCTGAAAAAGTTAACTTAAAGTTCTCAAAATGGTCAATATGAGTATATATATATATTCATCAGTTAGCTTACCTGGCGTCATAAAGTTACAACAGAATCCCTGTAAAATCTGTAAAATTCATAAAACTGAGTAATTATTGAAATCGCTTAATCTTGATATTAAGCGTTTTTCAATAGTTAATTGCATATTTATGGATAATTACTAAGTTTTTTGGTTTTATCGGATTATACAAGGATTCTGTTATGTTATTTATGACTCCAGGTATATCTACTGGCTCTTATTCGCCAAGTTGAAAATTCTATAATTTTATGTTAATTCTAAGACGTAGTATCACTTTAATATGATTAAATCAAAATGAAATGAATGAAGTTCTACGTCCTACTTTTCTTCACCATGTGGGCCTGATGAAGACGGGCAACGTCATGCAGAGTACAATGAGGGAAATCTTTCCAGGACTGCGGCATTAGCCTGCTCTTCAGTTGATAAGGTATAATGACATAAAAACATATTTACATTTAATACAATATAGGAGTCTCCAGAATAGAATTTACCATAATCTTCTTTAGGCCAATGAGTTACTTTAAATTTCTAAAAAAACAAAATGTGCATTTTAAATATCAAATGAAAAAATGATTTCTTTACAGTTTGTATTTGAATAGTATACGGTTTGAACATAAATCCGATTGCCATTGATGAAGAAATTCAAATATTTCAAACATTTGTGCTAACCCTTAATGGTTCAAAGCCACAAGGAAACTTGTAGAACAAATTTGGCAATCTTGTCACCATTCTACAAAAGATTCATATATATTTATTATATATATTAAAAATATTAAATATAAATCCATATTATAAATTTGGTCACCATTTAGCTACTGTTGGCAATTATTTTCCCTTTAGGCCTATTGGATCTACAACATACTGGGTCAACTTTCCAACAATTTTTCAACCTTAAGACGTTTACCATAAAGAAATTTCTGACCTATTGTCCATTTAAAGAACCTACCACTATTCTCCAGATCTGTAATCCTGGTTCAGCACCCGCTCCCTGCCATGCTGGTTCAGACTCAGCGGATTCCTCTATAAAAACACAAAAAAACAATGATTTGGATTTCAAAAATTTTTCTTTAGCTTAAGGGTCAAATGAAATAGTATGAAATATTTTGACAATGGCATGCCACTAGGTGAAACTTAAAATTGCATGTTAATAAAGGTTGAAAACACATGACAACAAAATTTCATTGTTTCATTTGAATTTGATAGGTTCCTTACTCTTCACTTGTTTTTCAGTATCAGAACCAAATAAGGCAAGATTGGAATCCTTCCAGTCGTATTTCTTGGCTTTCATCATCTTGGCAGATTTACTAGGTGCTTAATCTGAAAAACAAAACAATTAAAAATAGTGGACTAAGCAGAACTTTACTAAAAGGTAACCTTTGCCGTATAACAATCATTAGATTCAGGAGTAAAGAAACAAAAGTGATCCACTGTTGAACTATACAAATCTTGTCAGCCCTGATAAAATTCTAATAGAGCATCATTGGCAAGATTATTCAGAACCCCAACACACAGTAAACTCATTATTAGGCTGAGGAAATACTGGTGACACAATCTCATCTAAGAAATGTACAATTTGATCATCGCTCATAAATTTCGATGTACAAATTAACATTATCTTTAACCAATGTCACCCTTTCACTCAAAAGACCTGTAGATTAGTCTGTCACTGTATTTGACCAGTAGTTTTTGGGAATGTGACACTATCTTGCGTAATTAATAACATGATCTGATATAAATCCAATAAAGACCAGTATAGCGATATATTCATGAGAAATATCCAAATATGCTATTCACAAGACTCGACATGGCCAAGCATGAATTCATTGTGATATGATATGTGACTACCTATTTGACCTGCATATTACACAATATAGACTCTACTACTTCCTTAGTCATAATCATGAACTTATTCATCTATAGTGTAATAAATATTTCAACTATATCAATATGTTGCCATGGAAGTTATATTATCTTTAAAAATCTGTTCACTCTACATTTGAATCATCTTGCAATCTACTTACATATATGCTACTAATGTGTTTAAACAAACTAGATCATGAAGTTTTTGAATTGCCTGAATAAACCTGAATAGCATGATGGCAAGAGGAACTTGGCTAACAGAATAAAAAAAATGTCAAATCAAGATGCAAAAATTGCCATTAAATCATTAATTTCAGGACAGACTATGAAATATTGTCTAATTATTTCATATAAAGTAGCCTGTACATGATACATATGTACATTTATTAAGAAGAGAGCTATAAACTCCTTTTCTTGCAAAAAGAAATATTCATTCATTCCATATCTGCATCCAAACTTTATTTCAACAGCAAAAAAGAATTATTTCAACTTCACACAATTGGTCTGAACTGTTTTCACTCAAAACTAATATAAGGTCCAAATTTTATTATCAGTCTAGTATTTATAATATGTTAAAGATGGGTTCCCTGAGTGACCGATTATTTTTTTGTTTATCCAGACTGAGCATACAAGGATATGATATGATTGTTTAAATTAATTTATGATCATGCATTAGAAACACCAATTATTCAATTAGTTTGCATAATTTGACACTAAACGTTAAGAAAACCCATCTTTAAAAGTATACAGTGTAGTTTCCTGTAGTAGATCTTGATGATTCATACTGACCTTATCTTAGCTTGTATTAACAGTACTTGACTGTTAATACTATACAAAACTTGTAAACAACCAAATTTTCTACCTAGTCCTGATTACTTACTAAACTTGTTACAGATGTATTCCAGATCCAACTATTGTGCTAGTAATCAACACATGTATAGCTCGTTCATGAACAGGTAACCCAGTAAACCCACGTAGAAAATAAATCTTGAAAATTAATCTATTCTGGTAACTATAACCACTCTAGTTAATCAAATTTAAACTCATTTACATTGTAAATCTTATATAACATGGCATGTATTATTCTTATAAATGTAATTTAGATAATTCAACATAAATCTAATCAATACAAATACATTATGAACTACATAAACAATATTTTTTTTGATGTTTTTAGATTATATTTCAACTTTCCCCCAAGCTTATTGTGATAGTTTTTAACTATTTAGGAGACTAATTAATAGAAAACAGTCAGAAATCAATCATAATTGACAGTTGCCTACAAGCCTATCTTTAATCTCAACAATTGCCTAAAAATTTAAGATTTTTTAACATAAAATATGAAAATAGCACTAAACTATCAAAAACACATTTGGCAATTTAATAATGATTATTACAAAACATCTTGGCATATTGAAAGCATTACAAAGGTGTACACAAATAAAACTGAATTGAAAAGGTTTCCTCCTTTATACCCAAAACACACTTCTTTAAACAGAAAAACTGGTCTTAAATTGCAGACATCAAAACAAGATCCACTTGTCAAACTTCAGTAGAGATACAGACTGTGAATGAATGATACGAATTCTTCACATTATTTCAAAATTATACGTTTAAGTGCATAATATATCATCTGTCTTAGTACATGTCTTCATGACTATAGAAGATGGTAATTCCACATATGACATTTGGATGAAAATAAGTCTTTGATTTATTGGTATAGATTTAGTAAAGACAAACTCAGATATTAAGTACCATTTCAAAGTTTATATTTCAATTAACATAAAAATATTCATCAAAATGCCATTCTGAAACCAATGGTCTGTGGTAACATATCAGATAATAAACTAAAACCACATTGCCTCATAAAAGACTGAAGCTACATGGTACTGTATAAATGATGTTAAATTACAGAGAGAGTTGATTATATATAATCAAAAACACCTGCCAAAAATACTTCACTAGATATCAACTTCTATCCAATACAGCAATGTTCATGTTCAATATCTAACTGCCTAATGTCAGCATATTCAATATTAGTAGCCTACAGCTACAATAAAAACTATGTAACAAAATGGAACTGTACTTTGAGAATCCGCTCCAAAAAATGATTGTTATGGTCATTTTCAGTAAACCTTACAGAACATCAGCCAAGGCCTTTATGTCTGTAGCAACAACCTAGGATTCTCAGAGACATGGAGATGAAAACATATGTCAACCTGGACAGATTTAGGTTTTATATATGATTTTACAGCAGATAATTTTTATCTCATGACAAAACAAAATTTTAATTCTGAAGGAGTGTAGAAAATAAGATACCATCTTGACCATTCCATGAAAACTGGTCCAGTGTGTTTTGGTGAGGTGTCATGTAGGCTATTCCTTTCTGAAAATTCTATTCCAGAATTTTTTTCTTATTTGTTGTAATTTGCTCTTAGTAGGCCTGCTTTTTTTTAACAGATGTCATTTAAATTCATACAAAATAAATAGACGAAGTGTGACTCTGTTTAAATATTGACTGCATCATAGGCGACATAATAACAAAGAACATCAACAAGACCAATCGGCCACACCCTTCGCCTGTATTTCTATAGAAGCATCACACATTTTTTGCCGCTCAAAGTCGGCTTTTTGGCACCAAAGCAACAAAAATATATGTCAATAATGTTGGACAGTATGCATAAACTATTTACAATTCTGAAACACAGACAAAGATTCCATGACAAGATTTTTATGTAGGTACTTACTTGCAAGAAAATAGGCTAGAGTGACTGTTTTTCTTCCTGGGTGCTGTTTGTCACGTGACTCAATCACGAAGACCTAATCTGATTGGTTAAAATTCCCCTGATCTCGTGCAAATTGGCATGGCTGAGTTTGATTACATGTATATACACGCATTTACACCATGTATTTGTCACTGTCGCTCAGTTTTTGGATGAAATGAAATGAGGTTTTAAGTCCTATTTTACTTCGAACTTGTACCTCTTAAATCCTTAAACTTAAAATATTACAGCACAACTCAAACTACCACATAAGACATTTATTCACATGTGCAGTTAAATGTGTTCTGTATGCTTCTGGGTTATTTGCAGTTACCTCCCTTTAACCGCGATTGTCAATTCCAAAAACTTCAGATATTCGCACTTGACAATGACATTGGCCTTTTCAAATTTTAACAAATCATGACATCTTCCTCTGGTCTAGTCTTTTTTAATCATAACTCCCCGGGAGCTTTAAAAATCTCGCATCACAAACAAGGAATTTGAAAATTGTTCAAAGTTTTAAGAGTTGGGGCGAGGCGGTGGTATCTTTACGGCTGGGGCTATTTTTAGGCTACTGCCTAACTTAACATTACTGTAACGGGCAGACTATGCACGGTAGGAATTTGAAATTTGACAAAGGACAACTTGAGAAAAATAAAAACCAAAGAAATTTTAAAAACTTATAATGCATACTTGATGTGTAATGAGGATCGTTAACCACTGGCCTACACTTTCTTCATGGCAGTGTTGATAAACAAACAAAAAGGCAAATGAACGGTGTTTAATGTTTCGGTAAGGTAAGGTATAAGCTAGGCGTATGTTTTGGTATTAAAGGACATTTGAACTCTGTTAAAATATCTTCTATTTGAAATAAGGATAAAGCCAAAATATCAATCATATCAGTAATTACAGCATGAACATTTTGACACGAAAAATACAAAAACATCTTTTCGAGTGAGTTAAATCTCAATGTTAGATGTGCCAGCAAACTGTCAGATACAGCCGATATTCAGTAATATTGTCATTGAAAAATGGCTAATTGGAATTTGAAACCCGGTATTCGGCTGAGTTTGAGTAATTTGGGTGATTTGAGGATTAGTCAAATTGCTCGAGTTGTGTCTGGTAACTTACAATTACTCTTCAAATTATACTCTTCGTCATTTCAACTTGAAATACACCGTCTCAATTAATCACATTTAAATATAGTGTACTGGTCATATTTCTGATTGCAGGTAAAAAATATTGTCTCATATCGCCCTTTCAATCTATGTTTCCATATGTTTTCTCAAATGAACGAGGAAACACGTGCCATATTTTTGTTGTCTATTTTTTAGTTCTTTACTAATATTCAGATCTATGTAAACGATTACATTTACTTCATACCAAAAAGCCAAGTAATTGTGTTTGAGGGTTGTATTTTATTTATCTATAAAACAACGATTTTACTCAGTGGAACATTGAGGGGAGGAGGTGGGCATGGTGCCCTCCTTAGGAACGATAGTAAAAGATAAACATACAATGGTTTTAGTTTGATTTATTGTTATATCATATGCTGTAACAAGATTCCTAAAGAAAATTTTTCTTTTCAGATTTCTTCTCCATAATAGGGTCAAAAAGTTAATATGCTCGATAAGTTGAAGTAAAAGGTTTTTAATGAAAGATTTGATCGTAATTGATTTTTGGGCGTCTAGAAATAGAAATGGCAAGACAAAGAGTTGATTCTTGTATGTATCTTATCAGCTTTGAGTGGGCTTGCTATCAATTGACTAAATTACATTATTATTATTATTTTTATAAAAGTGTTTTTCCTCTAAAGGTGGTACAAGCCATCGACAGGTTAACTGGATTAGCCTTTTTCTTTTTCTGTTGGTAACGATAGTCAGCAGGCGATCCACTTCTTAAAGTTTGTTTCCAAGGGTCAACGAAGCGGCCAATTGGGTGAGCATGCATGGAAAGCTGCTCTGACTCTTGAGACTTTGTCGCATTATGCTGGTCGAAAGTTCCTCTAGACAGGACTGGTGTTTCCGTTAGGTTTCTTGTTAAACATGATATGTTTGCTGGCGGCTTGCAAAGTAATTTCTTTGGTTTCTGAGTATGGATTGTATCGTAATTGGTATGGTCATGTGAGGGCTAACTATTAAGGGTGTATTATCAGATGATGCCCTAACGGACACGTATTAATAGCCTTTTTTTTACCATGTTGTCTAACACTTGTTGGCCTAACACCCGGGCACCAACAGAATGCTCCACACTTCGGCAGTTCGATTCAGCTTTCGTTCAGCATTCTGTAAACCGGCTTCGGGAGTAAGATCTGCTTTCCAAGTTTTTTTTTTTTCAACCAATAAGCCACCTAGGCGACTAGTGCAGCACCGATAGAAGCCCGACCTCGACAAAACAAGCCAATCATTTGCACACTGTCGTCAGGAACAAAGCAACGAACATTAGCTTATCCAATTGAACAGTCGACGTCTCGACAGAATCTTCGTGGCAGTTGATTTGTATCATCACCTTAACCGTCCGCTTTTTTAAACGTGTGTTTAGATCCTGACTTCAAAGATCCTACCCAGAAAAGAGGCCGGAGAATGTGGTGTGTTAGCATGTTTAGCATTTGCTGCAGGCATTGTACATACAGACAATGACCATTTTTAACACAATTGGCACCCAACTGTGATGTCTTTTTTTGTGTGTGTCATGCAGGTTTTACAAGTAATGCAGCAGGCAATGTGTCTGTCAAGGGCAATACTGTACTTTAATAAATGTACCTTTCATGTGTCATCTGAGTTTGATTTAACCATAGCGCTGAATGGGGTCAAAACTTGAGCGTGTGGGACAGGCATAGCTTAATGTAGTGGGTAATTTGCCTGGTTTTGATCATTCTGAATTGCTTCAGAGAAAAAAAAAGAAAGAAAACTAACTTTCCAAGTGGTCCGAATAATATTAGATCAAGCCAAAAGTTAAAATCTCTTTTTCGGTGTATGTAGACCCTAATTCAGCAATAATTCAGTGTGTCTGGCAAGAGTTATTTTGCTATTTGTTTGACCTTTTATTCAAAGTTGTTTCAGTCGATGCTCTTGATGTTCTATATAGGTCAATTTGGTCATATAATCGGACGGGGTCAACTTTTGGGCACGTTTAATGGACATAAAGCAGTGGGGTAATTTTTTCCAGACTTCTTCAATATTTGCATATTTCATTATATTAGGAATATGTATTACCGTTTGTCAAATCTATCTATCAGGGCTTTCTGACGAGTTTTGCTGATGTTAATTTCCGATGTCCAATAATGCCTGCCATTTTTTTCCTTTTTTTGGTGGATTGACGTGCGACATAATACGGAATATTACGAAAAGATGTTTTGTTTAAAGATACCTTCTACATTCATATTCGACATGATAATTAAAACATCAGTTTCTCACAAAGACCATCCCACATATGATGGATGAGGCTCTGAAAGAAATATATGGGGCAATATAATCTAATCTTTAGTGTGGGAGGGAAGTTGGATTATATCTCACCAGAATACTTTGCCACTTGAAAGGAAATCACTAAATATGATCCTAAAGTCGGATTGTCATATCATTTCATCAGATGGTGTGATGGGTAGATGCAACTGAGTATTGCAAGATAGTTAAGCAGCGCTATCAACGTTGACAAATCAACTTCTAAAAATGACCACTGACGTCATGAAGTGTCTCTTTTTAATGCGTCTATTAGCTCGAGTGTTTAAGGACTGTTCGATTTTGGATGGTTCGTTCCGTGCATCAATAATACAATATGAGAAAATTAGAGACTTTGTAGAACGAATCATTGACAGAAACACCACTCTTAACCAACTGACGTCCTACTTAAAACCATCTCATATCCCTCAACCATAATTCTCAAATTAATTCAACACATCCGTTTTATTGACCCAACCTCTGCTAATTTCGACAATAATGGCGGGAAATTGTCAGGTCAGACGACAAGAGCACTTTTCGCGAGAACATGTGTGTTTACTTCTCGAGCCTCGGGTCATGGCTAAACACTCGATTAGGATTAGTTGCCCCCGTTCGTACGATTTTGGCTTCATTTGACTAGTTATGGGGCAATTGAAATATTTGTGTTGTATTAATTGGAATTAGTGACTTTATCAATTGAGAGAGAATTATCGACAAGAATCTGTCGGTTTTTATTACAACATATTGCATGTAGAATATAGTATCACATAACGGTTCCAAACTTGTACGTCTCCTGCTACACGACGTAAATCAATGACGATCTCGTGTGAAAATGCTTAACCAAATTTGCAAAACATTGTCGGGTAGAGTTCGTTTGAAACAATATACTACCCTAGAGACAGTTCAATACATTAACAAGTCGCTTATCAGAAGTTATTGGTATTAGCTCGTTTTGTCTAATATTCCAGACTCTAATCTTCACGTTAAAGCAATTGACAATATAAAACAGATAAAAAATAAAGTCAATAAAAGAGAACAAATAGAAGAGACAAGATTGTTTCTAGATAATCTGAAAAACTCATAAGCTTAATTATTCAAGTAAAATAAGCTAGGGCTGGGATTTAAAAATACCACTGAACACCTGAAGACATCATGTAGAATGTATGGTGAATGTTTAATTTATTATTTTTTGCTATAACTATCTTAGCTCCTTAAAGATAATTAACATGCAACTTTGCTAATTTTATATAAAAAAAACAAACAAAAGAACAATTGATCGCATAAATTATCTTTTAAAATTTACCACGTGTGCTACAGGCTGTGCACGTTAAAGATCCCTCGACAGTTGGAAATCGAAAAATATCAGGCTAATGCCGTTGTCCTGGCAAAATTTCCCTCATTGCACCCTGCATGGCGTTGCCCGTCTTCATTAGCCCACATGGTGCAGAAAAGTGGGACGTAAAACTCCATTCATTTCATTTTCCGAAAAATCAAGTCAAGATACATGGCTGCACATTAACACAATATGTCTAAATAATCATTTAAAACAAAACATGTCTTGTCCTCTCCTACTGCCGATTAAATATCAAGTAGAATGCAATCTTGGATC